TAAGAAATGGGCCCACTGCGAATGTGCAGATTGTCCCTTCAAAAAAATGTAGTATATATGTGAGCTCTGTGTTTAGCTTAGGTACCTTCTCCCTACTTTGTCTTAACTTTACTTTTTTTGATGAATATTTTTTGTGTTTTTTATATTTTTAAGCTGTGTTAATTTTAATTTTAGGTGCTAATAATTGTACCTGACTCTGCGTAAGTTAAGCATTACATTTCATTTATATTTTTACTTGAATAAACTTTTTTTGACAATTAAATCTTATTTTATATTTATTTACTTCAAGTAACTTGGTAGTTTGGGCAAGATGGCATACCATGTCATCTTACCCGAAATATTCAGCCTGAAATGGCATACTGAGGTGAGATTAAAAATAAAAATGCTTAACTAAAAAACACAGATTTATTTTTGTTATAGTTAGGCTAGGTATTTTCTTATATAACTACCAAGTTTGAGGCCATAAACCCCAAAAATACATTAGAAAAAAAATTATTACGAAATGTATGCCAACTCGGACACACTTCCCCTATAACCTCTAGTCTACTGTCACAAATTACGTCATCATTAACATAGCGTAATACAGAACGCTGGCAATACAAACAGTACACGATTTCGCCAATTTTATCAGTGCTCCTCGTATATAAAATTATAGACTACATTTATGAATGAATATACTCCTATACTTATTTATATAAATTTTCATGTTCTCTAGTATCTATACGATACAAGGTTTACGCCACTGCTTTTTTTGTGTCATCGACCAGCAGGAACATCATGTAAATAATAATAAAACAGATACTAGTTGTTATAAAAAGGAGAGGACAGCCTCAGCCATGCACTGCTGGATGGAATGTTAATCCTTTTAGACCTTAAGAGCGTGGGCGCTCTTTTAAAATCAAAGCTGAATATTTTATTATTCAAATTTATCTACTTATCTTTATATTGATGGGGTTATTTCATCAAATTAAAGACAAATATAAATTTATTTGTTGATGAATATTAGAACAAAATTTGGAGATTTCATAACAAACTTTTTGCGTTTAATAAATGTTTTTTTTTAGTTAAACTAACTTTAGTTTAGTTAATTAAATTTATTCGTACTTTTTTTTTAAACCAGAATGATATTTTACTTATAAACATTCAAGATCTATTAAAAGATTTTTTTTACAGTTACAACCATCATTGTTCTCGTTCATGACAAAAAAGGTGGTGCCTCAAAAAAAAAAATTTGAATTTTCGAAGAAAAATTTTATTACGGTACATTGACTTTTATATCTTTGATATAATTTCTGTGGGAGTGTTGGAGAACCGATTCTATGGAAATGATTTGGATTTTTATTATGAATAACAAGTTGGATGTATCAAAGTGCTGCATAATCTAAGGATTGCGGTTTTTAAATTGCCTTGTTGTTTCAGTTGTCAACTATGTTGTTCACTGAAGTGGAGTCAAATTTTTCAAGGGGACGCAGAATATTTTTTTGTAGAGTTACATTTTTATAATATGGATTCTTGGGTGTTTTCATAGATGTAGAAGGTGCTTTTGATAAGACAACCTTTCCCAAGATAATACACTCACTAAACAACAGGAAGGTTCCCAAGGGCGACTCCAGAGGAGGGGGGCTATGAGGGCCATAGCCCCTTGTTATTACGATGTATGAGCTTTTTATTAAAAAAAAAATATGCTAAAAAGGGAATGGCTAATGGCAATGCCCCCCACCGAAAATTCGTCTTGGAGCCGCACTTGAATGTTCCACAGATGGTTAGTGGGTGGATACACAACATGCTCTCAAGGCGAGCAGTAAACATAAGTGTGGAAGATGTGAATATAAGAGGCTTGGTTGCGAGGGGTTCTCCACAGGGAGGAGTGCTATCACATCTGCTGGAAGACATGATCATTTCGGCATTTCATTGGGGTGGGGACTTTTGGTTTTAGATCTTTTTCTATTTCACCCTTTCCTTATACATATTCCTCCCATTTCCTGGAAGTCCCTTTCTTCTTTCTCTTTTCTTTTTATTATTTTCCTAATGTTTTCCGCTATTTTATTCCAATTTCCCTGGTCTTCCACCATTTTTCCCACGATATTTTGCGGCGAAAGGTCTAGTTCCCTAATAATTTTTTTGCCATGTCTTCACCTGATGCATGAGAAGACTGTGTGTTCTGGTGTGTCAGTCTCTCTGCAGTACATACAATTTAAGTCACTGGCTTTCCCTATCCTGTCTGTGTAGGTTCTAAATGAGCCATGCCCATTGCCCACTTAGAAACTACGTCATGTAATAATCCGTTCTTTTGTGTTTGTATTGTAACCAGGGATATAATCTGGAATCAGCGTCTTTGTCCATTGTGCCGTTGCCTCTGTGTTTTCCCATTCTTCCTGCCACATGGCTATTGAGTTACCATTTTTTGCCCTTTCGGTTATATCGTTCATTTCTATCTATCCAGTCGCATATTTGGATTATGTTTAGGCTGTCTCAATCAGACCTCTTTTGATCTGGATCTCACTATCAAAGTAAGATCGTCCGCGTATGCATCCATTTCGCAATCTGTCGGCAGTTGGAGTTGCAGTACGTCGTCGTATAGTATGATCCACAGGGTTGGACCGAGAACGGAACCCTGTGGAATACCCTGTGTTATTTTCTTGCTGTATCCTTTGACTAATATTTTTCTGTTCTAAAAAATAACTTCTGATTAGATTTGTTAGCCATTTTGGTGTACCGTTGTCTTCGAGTTTTCTCTATATTAGGTGCCATTTTGCCGTGTTGAATGCGATCTTAAGGTCTAGGCTTATAATAGCTTGACAATAGTGGTCCGTTTTTCTAGTGATCGCTTTGACTGCTTCCATGGTAGATTTCCCTTCCCTAAAACCGTATTGGGAGTTGAAGATTGTAATGTATTCCTCTAGTTTTTTTCTTAATTAGTTATTCTAGGAGCTTACCTAGTATGTCTAGAATACAGATAGATACAGACAGAATACGTTTTTCCGGTTTTCCTTTAGGGATGAGTGCAACTCTGGCTTTTTTCCATGTCGTGGGGATTTTTTTTTAACTGGCTATTTTGTTGTATACTGTGAGGAGCTCATTTGGTATTTGTCTGGTTGCCACCTTTACTATATCCGTGGTACTGCCGTCCGAGCCTGGTAATTTGCCTACTTTTATCTTATCAAGGCGTCTTTTAGATCTTCCGTTGTAAATGTGCCATGGTCTTGTGTTCTCTCCCAATATTCCCCCTCCTGTTGCCGGTCGGGGAAAAGCTCATCTATAACCCTCCTTTTTTTCTTCATTAGGCATTTCATACAGTTGGCTATTATTTTTGATATCTCTTGTGGTAATTTTATACCCCTGTCCCCAGACATCATTTTCTGGTTCGGTGCATAGTTCCTTTCATCGGTTCATTTTCGATGTGTTTATCTTCTTCCTGTATTCAGTTTTCCCTGTTTTGCATGTATTTTCTATTATTAAATTCGTAATATCAATATGCTTTGATTATCTTTAATTTATTTTTTAGGGCGGCTTAATGTAGTTCCAATTAAAACGTTGCATTTGCTCCGGGTCAATAGTCCTATTCCTTCTGGCCCTCATGAGCTTTCTTCTATATGAGTTGCAGGTTTACCTAATGGCGGCGATTTCTTCACTCCACCAGTATGGCGCGTTACGTTGTGGGCCCTGCGTGTATCTGGTCTCACTAGATTGCTGGACACATTTGAGTGCTTTAGTTAATTTTCCTGGTACTTCGCCTATATTGTGCTTTAGCAAGTCCAGTGAGTTTCTCAGGTTTTCTGCGTTAATCTGTTTTTTCTATCTTGGCTTGTTCCCGTTTCGACCACCTCAAACATGATGAATCAATGATTCCTCGAGTAATATCGTCTAACTTTGTATTTTTCTGGAGAGCCTTTCTGATGCTAGGGTTAAATCTATGTAAGATGAACTTGTTCTTCTGGTGAATGTGGCTACTTTATTTAGTGTGGTCATCCCTTGCTCCATGTATGTGTCCCTTCCATCTATTACATTTGGATTATAAAGCCTCGCTTTCGCGTTAAAGTCCCCGAAGATTATGTGGTTTGTATTAATTGTTCCCCTAACATCTTCCATGATCTCGTCGATTTTGTTCTCAAATTCCACTCTTGGGATATTCAGTAAAATGTAGCAGTTACAGAAGATCGTTCCATTTATATTTATTTTTACATATCCTCTTTTGCATTAGTGTTCCAGTATGTCTACGTTTTTACTTCTAATATAGACTGATACATCTTTCCTAGAATATGAGATTAGTCCCATGTTTGTAACGTTTTTTTATTTTAAATTCATCAAGAAAATCAATCTGATGGGATAGAAACTGTGAGGGGTACAATAAGCCTAGAGCTTCAGTACAAGTGGGCTTTGAACGTTTTTTTTGTTTGGCTCTTATAGAAATACAATATATCGTGCACGTCCGATGTTAATTTGTAATATTTTAATGGACAATATATAGATATTAATTTGTTTACTCGGTACTATCCATTACAGCTACCGTAGCACGGGCCTAATTCACTAGTTCATCGAATTGTCTGCTTAATGAATCTTCAGAGGTATTGGGCTCTTCTTTTTCTTCTTGTTGTTTTCTCTCTTCGTAAGGTCTTTCGGTTGTAGGTGTCACAAAGTTCTTATTTTTATCCTCCTGTCTAGCATTCTTAAGGGTGATTTTGAATTTGGGGTACTTCATGTTGCGCATTTTATGACCAGCCTATCTACATAGCGAGCATGCTTTTTTGTTTTTACATTCTTTCGAGCTGAGATCGCTCTGTCCACATTTAAAACAGTCTTTGGGTCGGTCTGGGCCATTACATATGTCAGAATAGTGGTCGTACGACCAATATTTCTGACACCTTCTGATATTTATTCTCTTCTCCACCCTACATTTGACGAGACCCACCCACAGGGAGCCTTCCTCCAAAATTTTATCAGTATCGTTAAATTTTAGAATGAGGGTTGCTGATAGGGTATCATTGCTAAGTGGACGGAGTTCATTTATCGTCTTCCCATTTACCCGTGATTTCTATAATGGATTTTTTGATGTCTTCAAGGGTAGTGTCCGCTTCCATCCCTCTCAAATGTATGGCTATACTCTTCTCTAGTCCTAGCCTCCTTGTTTTTAGACCCATGGTACTGTCTTTCAGAGCGTTGTGTAAATTATTGAAGGCTGTTTGATCTTTTTTTATCGTAAGTAGTAGTTTCCCGTCCTTTGTGCTCCTTACGGATCTGATAGCTTTGACCGATGAATTACTTCCAACGATAGTCTTGACCCTGCCTGGGACTTCCTTGTATGTTTTCTCACCGTCGCTGATGATCATTCCATACGTTGTTTTAACCTTTTTCGCTTCCCTGTTACTCGCTGTGGTGCCAATGACCACTTTAGTATCCGTTTTATGGAATATCGTTTCAGTCAGCTTCTGGAGATTCTCTGGTGTAGTGTTGTTGATGTGGTGGATTGCCACTCTTTCGTCTGTCAGGGTTTCTTCTCTGATCTTCTGTAGTTTATCTTATATGTCCGGCATGGTTCCATCGTGGTTGACCTTGATTATCTTTTTGTTGCTTAATTTCGTTCCATCGTTTTTTGATTTTTATTTCGTGATTTGCTCTATGATCTCGCAATCAATTAGTTCGGGAAATTTTTCCCGGTACAATCTTTGGATACTAGAATTCATGTTTTTATCATTTGGTTCGATCAACACCACTTTAGTGGTTTTTGGCCAGAGGGTTCCCCACGATAATTTCTGTCTGTTTGAATATACTCAGGAACGAATTCAGGGGACCCTAAAATGTAAAGATCCATTGAAAACCCGAGGTCGAAAAAAAGCGTGATCTTTATTTATTTTTCTTACTGGATACATGAAAGTAAAAATTTATATGATAAATATAAAAAAATCAGAAAGTAACGGTAAAATAAGTTAAATTTTAAATAATTAATAATAATTTAAAGAAGGTTAATGCTGAAAGGAAGTACCTTCGCAATATATTATCCATTAGGAAACATACATTATATCAACAAGATGAATAACAATTTGTTTAGTACGTGAATCTTTTATTGATTGTAATAATAATTATTATCCGTCAATAATACTCGAGAAGCATTTTGAAACAAAGCAAAATTTGCCGCACGTACAAATTAAAGGTGTTGATGTGACTTAGGCCCGTGTGAGGGGGAAACCACTAAGGTCCAATCGTACCCGTATTTCGGAAATAACCTACAAACTTTTTATGTCATTTCGGTGATTTCGCTGAAATCCACCTTAATTTTATACGGTGACTTTTTTTATTCTCTTTTGATTCACAAGGGCACAAGCTGCGGCATTTACGTTTTGAGCGATGAATTTATTTCGAAGTGATTTCGGCGATGATTTCGACCTTGATTTTCGATGATGATTTCTGGAAATTTGTAGTGATTTCGGTGATTTCGAGTGAAAACGTACCAATATTTTGGGAGTGGTTTACCCCTCGGGCCCATATTTATAGATCTTAGGTGAGTCTAACTGAGCTGAATAGTCCTTGAATAAAAAATCGAAGTTCGGTTATATCGCGTGAATTACAGGTGGGTAGTAACAAATACGTAAATTTACTTAACATTTACGGATTTGCTACTGTCCATCTCTAAATGCAAGTGCAACACCTAAACCACCTGGAAATCTAGAGAAGTTATAACAGAACTTCGATTTCCATTCAAGGACGTCTCTACCAAGTCCGACTCAGCTGAGATCGGTTTATAAATACAGCTAGGTGCTAGCAGGGGTGGGAAACTGGTATGCGCAGGCCTGGGATAGAGCAAAAATCAAACACGTCCGCGTGGCGCTGCAGTCGGGTGGTGGGGTAGGTGGTGGGAGTGTAAAGGACAGGTGAATATTAATTTTTGTGGGGGGTGTCATGGCGTCTTGGCTTAAACCAAACGAGAATGTTGTTTATTTATTTTGTGGTTGTATTCAGTTGTGTTTTCATTTCCAATTTGCTTAATTGATTTAGTTGACCACTGTTAATAAGCTTGTTTTTCCATTATAAATTTGTGCTTTTTGAGCTGTTATCTTGTGCTTTTTCCGCTGTTATTTTGTGCTTTTCCATAAAGATTCGTAATTATAGAAAATGTTGTGTACCGAATTGCCTTGATGTGGACAACAAGATGCATCGCCTGCCCCACCCTACGAATTCACCCGATTTATTTAATATTTGGGCACTTGCTGTTCGTTGTCCAAGATTTAATAATAAAACAAGACTACAAATTTGTAGTATGTCAAACATTTTGAAGAGAAGTATAAAGTAGTTGGCTCTCGTCGAGGTCTAACACCTGAAGCTTTCCAATGCTATTCCTCCCAGCAGTTCCTGGAAGAGTAGTGGATGGACTTTCCTCAAATAACGTAGAAATTGAATATGTTGATCAAACACCTTCTACTTCAAGTAAAGGTTCGAAGAAGAAGCAGACTAATAATATATGTTGGACTTCTTTTCAAGAAGGAAAGTTAGTAATCTACTCATTTATTTTATACTTATACTGTGTATTTTCTGTTTCATGACGTTTGGGGTTGCAAAGCTGTATCGTCGAAGAAGAAGAAGAAGAAGAAGAAGCAGACTAATAATATATGTTGGACTTCTTTTCGAGAAGGAAAGTTAGTACTCTACGCATTTATTTTATACATGCCGCATTTGAGAATCCATATCGGATGCATTTTTTACATCTCAAGCGTTTTTTATCCACATCGGACACATCTGTTCCATTACATTTACGTATACTGAATGACATGATCAAAGCTTTACTACATCTCAGATACATTCGATGTGGATTCTCAAACGAGACATATACTGTGTATTTTTTTTTTCATGACGTTGGGGGGTTGCAAACCTGTATCCTAGATGTTGGACTTATTAAAAAATAAAGTATTCCTCGGACTTATAATTTTTTATTAATCCATTTATTTTAATGAGATTGTACTTATACTGTCTTTCTTTTTTCACAGCTAAAGTTCTTCACAAAATGATGGACAGTGTTGTATGGAATATGTAGCAGCCATTCAGCTACTTCATACATAATACAATTTTCATATACATTACATTTTTTAAATATTGGATTTGTATTATATATATTCTTTAATACATTTATTTTTTGAATATGCTTGTTTTTTTTTTTATCTAAAAACTGTTAGCCAAATTAAGATTTGTTCACACAAACTGCATTTTTGCTTTATTATAGCAATATTCGCTATAATAAAGCAAAAATGCAATTTGTGTGAACAAATTTAATTTGGCTAACAGTTTTTAATGCGGATAATTTTTACTGTCAAATTTGAATAGCCCCGCGCTTTTCTTCTCTTCTTCTTTTTAATATTTTCTCTTCTTTCATATGGCCTCTTACCAGACAAGGACTTAATTGAAAAAAAATCAACCACGCCCACCAGGTGCCGCTGAAAACTCTATCATCCTTTTTTAACATGGGAGATACCGTTCTAAGAGTAAGTGTTCTGTGGGTGCTAGGAGCTAGGAGCTTCTGGACTAGGATGGGTCTTCAATACATGGCAAAATAAATTTAGAATTATTAACACAAAAATAATCTTGTAATCTATTGTTTGGATGGTCCCTTAATCCGAGCCGATTTCTGGGAAACCAAAACATCATAAACCAGGCGGTCGACAGAAAAGGGTCGTTCAATCATATTCTAAGGTTCAATCAGTGGGTCAACTATTTGGATGGGCAGATTATCTTTTGTTAAGACTGTGTTATTCCATTTGTTTTAATAATTATTATTTTTGTAACATTATTTTAATATTAATAAACTTCATACGTAAAATAAACATTTAATTATTTGTGTAGTTTACACTCTATTAATTATTTTGATCTGTTAGAGTATTTTGAAAATTATAACGAACTAAAATAATTAATTTCCAGAGATGCAGACAGTTAAGATATACTTAAATTTGAATTTTAAGAAACTTTGACATAAAAAAATAGCGAAACTCACATATTGTGTTCCTTAAAAAATTAAAAAATTGTGGCCCTAGTTATGAGAATATTTCCTGTAAAATTTGATTTAACCTTGCTTCTTTTCAGTTCTCTACTGTCCACGAAAATAAAAATTACGTGAGACTAAATACACACAACCAAACTTATGAAATCACTGTGTATTTCTGAATAAACTTTTTGTTCAAAACAAACATGATAATAAAGAAGAAGTGATTTATTATCTTGTGAATTTTGTGTTCAGAAGTAAAATCACGATCCTGTAATAATTTTATTTCGGTCCAAAAAACAACAAAATACCTTATATTGGACTAACAGATGTGCATAGGGGAAGAATTATTGCTATCATTAAACAAGGAATGTCCCAGTGAGACATAGCAGAGGTAGTAGGCGATACTCAGGCTGTTGTATCGAAAACATATGAAAGGTACTTGAAACTAGAAATTCTCAAGAACAGGTTCAGACAAAGTCGTCTAAGAGTCACAACTGAACAACAGGACCGCTTTGTGTGCCAAATTGCTGGAAGAAATCCAAATGTTTCTCATCCAGAGTTACAACGACAACTTCTGGAAGCTACAGGTGTGAACGTTTCAGTGAAAACCCTAAACCCTAAGAAAAAGACTTCGCGCTCGAGGGTTTTACAGTAGGAAAGAGTTACGAGTCCCACCGTTATCTAGGCAAAATAAAATTGACCGGGTAAATTGGTGCCTTCAACACCAAAACTGGACAATTGAGAATTGGCAAAATGTTCTTTTTTTCGGATGAGATCATAATTGGCCTAAGATCGGATGATTATTGAATTCTGGTTCTCAGAGCTCCAAAAAGATGCCAGATGCTCCACGCTGCCAGATCTGTCCCAAAATATCAAGGAGAAACTGTAATGTTTTGGGGAGACATTATGCTGGGAGCGAAAATTCCATTGTTACCACTTCAACAAATTTTAACTGGTCCTAGGTATGTTGATTTAGTGATAGAACAAATCGTTAGGCTTTGGAGAGCTGCAATTGGGGATAATTTTATCTTTATGCACGATAATGCATCTCTCCATACCAGCAGAGTGGCTAGAGGATGTCTTGAAACGAAAGGTATCACAGTATTAGACTGGCCTGCATATTCACCAGATCTATATCCTATCGAAGACTTGTGGGACCAGCTCAAACAAGGGTTAGAGCTCGTCGAAACAATGCAGGAAATGTCGCACAGCTTATTGATGCAGCATTAACAGAATGGAAAAACATATCCCAAGACAATGTTGACAGTTTATTAAGAAGCATGCCAAGGCAAATAGAAACTTGCATGAGGGCTAGAGGTGGTAACATGCATTGTTAAAATTAAAATCTTTTCGGCAATTAAAAATTTAAATCTCATTTCGTTTCAGAAACCAAAAATATATCATTGTGTTTATTCTGTCAACTAATTGATTATATGTTATTCATAAACAAAAAATGTTTATATGAAAAATAATAGATGATTTCATATAAGTTTGGTTATGTCTATATCTGTTCCTTTACCTATATGTTATATTATGCTC